TTTCCACAGTTGCAATGGTACCCACTATAATGGCCCATGCTTTTAATCACTCCTGGGCAACTCCCTGTGCAGGTTTTGGGACCTTTTGGAGGTCAGCTGCTCGGCCATGCGGGGCTGCATGTTTTGGGAGCGACTGGGCAGCCTTCACCTCAGCGCAGCCCTTCCAGGTGCAGAGTTTGCAGCCTTGCACACCGCTGGCAGTGGCTGGGGTTTATTTCCCAGGGTTGTAGCCTGTTGCTGGTGTGTAAGCAAGAGCTCCATCAGGGATATCACACCCTCTGCCAGGCACTGGAGGAGCAGAACAGCCAACATGTCCTCTCTGGCGAGAGAAACTGAGAAATGGTGGAAATTACCACTTTTCTGTTTCCTTCCCAGCTGGCTGCCCCTGTCCTTCAGTCAAAACCAGTGCTCACTGCTTGGGTTGCACCAGGGACTGTACAGTGTCCCTTCTGTCCCAGAGATCTCTGTGATTTTTGTCCTTTCACTCAATTTGATAGTCTTCTAGGAAACTGCTGCCGTTGCGATGAGGTAACGCGTCGTACAGAGCCGCTTATCTGCGGCTTCGTTTTCCTGCGGCACAGCAGAATCGCTGGAGCTGTGGGTGCCTGAGGAATTCACCTCCATTGCACTTAAGAAAAACCAAACTGTTTTGGAAACAATGCTACTGAAGTGTCTCCTTACATGCTGGGGTGCTGCATTAGACGCCTCTTCCTCCCTTAGTGCTGCGCTGTCGCGAGCTGAGAGCATCTGGGCGAGGAGAGCAGGCGTGGGGGCAGCTTTACCCATGGGTGCCAGTGGGCTCCACGCTCACCTGTGCCCTGGGGTGAACTTGTTCCTTTTGCTTTGTGTACTGGAAATACGAGAACTCTATATTTTTTGGACAACGAATTTCTAAGCAGTCTTATAAGGGATTTTTAAATAATAATAAAAAAAAATAAAATAAAATAAAAAGGTGCAAGAATGAGTGCATGTTTACTTGCCCCAGATCAAAGGCTTTGAACACTAAGGTCACTATCTGTTGAATGGACCCTCCTCTTGGCGCTTTTCTGTCTTTGGGCAATGGAAGCTCCTGCTCTTTTCCTCTTACCAGTTTTACTGTAACTATATCTTTTCCCCCTAGGAGAAATATATATACAAAAATTGTAAGCAATTAAATGCTCAAGCCATAAAATCACGAGTGTGGGAAGACCCTCTTCACAGGTTTTAACGTTTGTATGTAAAATGATGTTTGTATGAAATATTTTCATGGTAGAATGAATATTTAAACAAAAAAGTTCCAGTAAGATCTAAACCAAATTTAAAAGGATGTCTTTTTGTAAGACGCACGTGTAATTGAATACCAGTAAGTAGATCATTATTTTTTTAAGGGGAGATGCAACAAATGATCCTTAGAATTACAAATGGTTGTTTCTGCTATTTGGGAGAGTATTTATGCAGCATTACAAGCAGCTGCCATAAATAATTGCAATAGCAAGGCTAGTCACATCTTCAAGACATACCTCTCAGCTCATCCCTTCATGGTATTGTACAAACGACCCATCCCTCCTTTCTGCAGATTCCCTCCTAGAAAACTTTTCCTACTGTAACTGTAATGAATTTAACTCTGAGCTAAGATCCAGACTAAAATTGTGTATTACTTAACAGTTTCTGCTGGGCCTTCTGCTATTTTAATACTCTTTAGCCCATAATTACTGGGTGTCTCTGTTCTGAAGAACTAAGTGCTAAAGAATAATCTTTGGGGTAAGCTTATACACGTGTTAGCGGTTAACCCCGGAGTATTTAACTTGTATACAGTACTTGATAGGTGTTTTATGACATTTGTACTCGAACTATGAGCCTTACTGAACATCTGTAGGTTTATTCATGACTTTTAAAAATGGATAACTCTAAGAAAGATGTTTACATGAATGATGATTGCCCTTCTTTTGATGTTATGAATGAGGTTTTTATAGTGTGTTTGGGCGTATGTGCAAGGAAGCAAGAAAAGTGTTTCTGGGGAAAAACAGACTTGACAAACATTTGTAATAAGTGAATTTTAAAGATTGCTTTAATTGCGCTATCAAGGCAATGCAGATATTAAAATATTCAACAAAAAAGTCTTGTCTCTCCTCGTTATTTGCGTGTCACATTTTTGGGCATCCTCTGACCTCTCCCCCAGGCTTGTGTGTGCTGTGTGGCCACGGTTGTTGCTGATGCAGGGGAGCAGGATTTCACACAGTTAGCACACTTCTAGGCCATGTTATATAAATAGTGAATGAAAAGCAGAACACTCCCGACACCACTGCATTGTTGTTTTTTTTTCCTGGCACCTCTGCTGCTTATTCACTTCTCTCTATTTCAGTGCACATAAAATGGGCTTCAAGTTGTGTTGTGATTTGGAAGAACATCCTCCTTGTATGTGCCAAAGCGTCTTTTAACAGTTGTGTTTTAAGACGCGTGAATGTGCACTGGTGTGTTTTTCTCTGAGGCAGTAGGATGTGCAGCAGTCGTGCCTTCCAGGCAGGTGACCTACTCCTGTCTCCTAATTCCATTTACACGTCCTGCTGGGTGAGTGGTGAGGAAAGGGACAGCGCTTTCAGTGCTGCCCTGCCTTCCTCAGTGCTTCAGTGCCCGCCTTGCTGTCTTCTGTAGGTTTATTCACACCTGCTGTGATCTTGGTCTCTCATGCCTGTGTGCAGTGCTGTGCCCTCCCCTTTCTACAGAGGGGATGTTTGGACCCCCTGTAGTGTCAGAGATGCAGAGAGGACTTGTTTGGCCTTGACACTGCCACTTGAACCTTCACAGTCCTTGAACTGGAAGGATGGGTGCTTGAGGTGTATTTGCAAGCTGTGTGGGAAATGACACTGGGATTGTGGATGGTGCCATGGGCTGGCTTCACCCAAACTGGCTGTGTTCCAGTCCTACACCGGTGTAATAACCCACTGCGGAGATGCAGTGAGTTTATTTAAAGAAATGATACCTAACCTGTGAATTGATTTCTTAAAAATGTTTAAGGGGCAGGCAGGCTTTAGTGCCATGCTTGTTAGGATTTGGCTGGAGGTGCCTGGGTGGGAGAGAATCATAGAATCATCCAGGTTGGAGGAGACCCTCGAGATCACCCAGTCCAACCATCCCACCCAGCACTACCACTGTACCACCCAAACCACTAAACAGTATTACCCAATGCCACATGTCTCTTACATGCCTCCAGCAATGGTGACTCCACTGCCTCCCTGGGCAACCTTTTCCAATGCCAGACCACCCTAACAGTAGGGGGAAAAAAAATTATTATCTAATCTGAATCTCCCCTGTCTCAGCTTAAGGCCATTTACTCTGGTCCTCCTGCTGCAGGCATGGTAAGAAGAGACCAACCCCACCTCCCTACAGCCTCCTTTCAGGGAGTTGTAGAGAACAGTGAGGTCCCCCCTGAGCCTCCTCTTCTCCAGGCTAGACAAACTCGGCTCCCTCAGCCCTTCCTCATAAGACATGTTTTCTAGACCCTTCACAAGCCTTGTTGTCCTTCTCTGAACACACTCCAACGCCTCGGTGTCCTTTTTAAAGTGAGGGGCCCAAAACTTAACACAGCACTCGAGGTGTGGCCTCGCCAGTGCCAAGTACAGGGGGATGATCACTTCCCTGGTCCTACTAGCCACACTTGCTGATACAGGTCAGGATGCCATGGGCCTTCTTGGCCACCTGGGCACACTGCTGGCTCAGTTCTGTCAAATAGCACCCCCCAGTCCCCTTCTGTTGAACAGCCCAGGATTCTGTGCTGTTTCCAATGGAAAGTGGGCACTGACATGCCAGGGGAGAGCCTTTGCCTGTCAGTCCAAACAAACTGATCACGTAAGTCATTAACAGCACACATAGAGAGGGTTTAATGGAATCTTACAATCACAAAACGGTTTAGATTGGAAGGGGGACCTCTAAGATCATCTAGTTCCAGCCCTCTCTCATGGGCAGGGACTCCTTTCACTAAACCAGGTGAAATCACAAAGCCCCATTCAGCCCGGCCTTAAAACACTTCCAAGGGATGGGACATCCAACAGACTTCCCAGGCAACCTGTACGGGCTTCCCCAGCGCACAGTGCTGTGCACGCGTGTGCCGTGAGAAGCAGCACTTAAGGCTGCAGCTGGTGTGTGGGGGGGGAAAATTGCTATCGAGAAGGGATGGGTGGAGTGCCCGGTCCCGGCAGCCCAGCAGTGCCCGGGGCAGCCCGCGGTCCCGCCCGGGGCCGGGGCGGGGGCGGCCGCTCCCTGCGGAGGGCGAGGCGAGGCGGGCGGAGCAGGATCAGCCCCGTCCCTGCACGGCACCCGGCCGGCACTGCGGAGGCTCTCCCGGCCTCGCCGGGGCTCTTTCTCGCCCGGAAAACACTCGGGACTCTTTTCGCCCCCCTGGAAGCGGAGCCGGAGCTTTCCCGGTCCCTGCCCGGCGCAGGTGAGGGCGCAGCGGCGCCTCCCGACCGGCGGGGAGCGGGACGGGACACGGCAGGACACGGTAACGCAGGGCTTGAGCCGCCCCCGGACGGGGCGTTCGGTGACCGGCACCAGCGAGGGGGGAGAGATGGGGCTCTGCTTTCCTGGCGCTCTCCTGGAGAGGTGCGGAGCTTAACTTCGGAATGGAACAGACCCCGGGCAGCGCCCCGCGCCGCTCCGGGCAGCAGAAACCCCGCAGGGAAGAGGACAGCGGCGGAGGTGGCGGTCTCACCTTCCTCTCCAGAAGCGTCAGGAGCGGTGTCCTGGGAACCTGCCAGGCAGCACGCCCAGGGATTTCCCAAAGGGCCGCTCACCTTTGGTCGCTGTCACCGTTGGCCCAGACAGATGAACTCTGTCCTCCTGGTACAGGTCCTGCGCACCAGCCGGTGGTGCCCCCCGGGTGCTGATGCTCCTGTTCCTTCTCTTTCTCTCCTGCCTAGGAAAAGCTCTTCTTCCTCCCCTGGAAGGCCACTGCGCCGCTTGCCAGCCTCTGTGATTTATGTGTGACTCGGAGCAGAATGGATCGCTATCGATACTTCATCTTCAACCAGAGGAACATGGTGGTGCTGGGGATGTTCCAGATAGCCCTCAGCACGGTGTGCGTCGTCAGCGGGTTCATAGATAGCATTTTCAGAACAGAGTCTCAGCTGGGCAGAACCAGAGCTCCAATTTGGGCTGGGATGGTAAAGTTGTACTGTATTTTCTGTGCTTTTTTTCCACCCACTGCTGTCTTCTAGCACTCATATTGGGAGTAGGAGGGAAGCCAGGATTTCTTGCCAGCTGTTCTCTGGTTTTCTGCTTTGAACCCACTTAAAGTTTCCTTATCATGATATAGGCAGAAGAGCGCAAGCAGACTTCCCTCTGAAGGAGCTAAATTAAATTCATTTCTACTGGATAACGTAGGAAATGGGGCATAGTGACAAGTGACAGGGGTTTTGTTGCAGAAGCATGGTGACCACAGAGAAGCCACCAAAGATGAGGAGGGGAACACTTTGTCCTCACGTCAGGTAGATGAACATCTGGGTGATGATCTGTGTCCCACAGCGCAGTGCCCCTAATCCTCTGTACTGCAGCAGGGAGCAGGCAGTGGAGGTCCCTGCTCCCGGGCGTTCAGGACCCTGATGTTACCCTGCTGAGCCACACTGCAAGGAAATCGTGCTGAAGAGCTCTCTTCAGTCCAGAGGCTGCCCATCTCCTTCCAATAATTCCTTTCTGTCCTCTGCAAGAGGCGTGTGGACTTGGGAAAACAGTGCACATTTTTAGCGCTTTAAATCAGCCTTATTCCATCAGTTTCATTATTTAGGCAGAGCCATAAAGCTCCGGTCTGAGGTGGCAAGGCCATGGGGAAAGCAGGTGTGTAAGATGCATGTCATGTACGTCCTGGAGATGCTGCAGAGGAAAACAGAAGAAATGAGCAATTCTCTTCCCATTTCTGACCCAACAGTTACTGGAATCCAAGCCTTGAAAACAAGGGCTTTTCATCTACGCTGTAGTAGTTTATCTTTGGAATCTGATACTGGTCTTCCAGTTACCAGCTGCTTTTGTGCTCCACAGGTGATGGGGGTCCCAGGCGTGCTGGCTTTGTTCTCCTCTCAGAGGAAGAATCCAATCCTTGTAAGCTGGAGGGGTGGATGGGTGGTTGTGTGTGTATGGGGCGGGGGCAAGATGTTGGGGCAAACAAAAACTATTTGAGTAGGGAGTGAGCTGACTGGTCCTTCTGCAGGATTAAGAGCCTATTTCTTTGAGTCTACATGCAGAAGAGCTGCTGTGTTCATAAGCAAAAGGAGGATGCAGTGTTACCTTGCTTTCTGCTGCAGCAGACAGGCACTGGGTCTAATAACAAGCAAAAATCTGTAAAAACACTTGGTTTTGAATGCTTTTCTTTTGGTGGTCCTTCATGTTGTTAAGGAATGTTTACACTAAAATAGGAAACAAAGGCTTGCATTTTCTGGGCAGGTCTCTCCTGCCATGCAAACCCTAAGGGGGGATATTGTATATAAATACAAGATCTCTAAGGACAGAGTCTTGGGGTAGCACCTGTGATTAAGATTTGGCACTCAGCTGTAGCTCAGAAATTCGGTATCCTGGAAACCTTTTACTTGTTTGTGTTTGGCTTCCTAGTGACTGTTGCTACTGGGTATGTTGTAGTTTTATGGGAGGTCAAAGGTTAGTAATTGTAATGCTTGCTAGTACATTTGCCATAGGATAGCTTTAATTCTTTTTCTCCCTAAAATTCTCTGTCTAGGTGAATGTACTGATAGTTGCTTCCATAATCTCTTGTGTTGCCATCCTCATCGTAATAGGTTACAGCTCCTTTACGCTGAACTATGGTGAAGAGGAGGAGCTGAGTTCTGCCCCTGTCCATGTTATCCACACTGTAAGTATTGATACCATGATTATTTCTAGGGAACTTGACACCCTTAATCTGCAAACAGTACCAGGAACAACTTACAGACAGAACCAGACTTCCAGGAGGTGTGCACACTAGGCCGGGTTAGCTGCTATTGCTTCTGAGAGCAAAAGGGTGTGGATTGAGCCATGAAAAAACACTCATGCTGCTCATGAAAAGGTGCTGACTCTATCCCTGGCCTGGCTTGAATCCTTTCCAGCATGCACTTTAGGTGATAAAGTTACAGCAGTTTCAGGTCAGCTGGTTAAACCTGGGTGTTATTTCAAGTGTATCCTCCTCAGTAAAGCGGAAGAGAGGGAATGAGTTAGCCCTTTTATGCCTCAAATCTGGTACAAGCAATGGCTCTCTGTGGGGGTGAAGGCATCCCAGGTAGATGAAGCTGATCATGAGTTACTGCAGGACAAATCAAAATGTCAGGCTGCTAAGGTGCAGGACAGCAAGAAGACAATTCTCATTTTCATTGTGAAAAAGAGCAGCCATTCCTTGGGTGTCTACTCATGGTTAAAGCTATTTACAAACCTGATGCCATTGCACAGCATCTCCCATTTAAACAGAAGCCTTATTCCTTGTTCTGTTGAGGGTCACACTTGTCCTCCAGAACACAGAAAGAAAAGCCTTTAATAACACTGACTACAAATCAATCTCCTACGATGCAATCTCAGCGTTCTTGCAGTCATTAGATTATTTTTGGTGGAGAGTTTCACTTTTCGAATGTGACTTTAACATCTCTTTTTCTGTTTGCAGAGGTTCATACTCAGTAAGGTAGTCAAGGGTGCTAACATAGCCATGCTGGCTGCATCTATCTGCAGTGCCTTTTTCGTGCTGGCCATGGTTTACCTGGGGTGCCGGAGCCTTCCACGCTGCTCCTGCTACGACAGTGTGACTGGGATGGTGAGTGAGGAGGCCAGGGCACAAGTTTGTTTCTACTGAGGGTGAGTGGGAGGGGGAGGAACAGGGGAGAAGATGTGTTTCTCTTCTCTTTAAACCTAGTCTCAGCTCTACCTCAGTCACCCAGGGCTAATTCTAAGAAATTAAGTGGATGTTAGAAGAGGTTTATACTTCTTAATTTTTTTTTCTTTTACTACTTCCCTCTTATTTATAGTCTAACATAAGACTTAACATAAGTTATCTCTGTTTTCCAAACCATTTTTGCTACTGTGGTCCCAGTTCCTATGAGTTCCTCAAAAACTGCTCCTTAAACCAACAATTGCTCCTGATACAGTATTTCAAAGACTCACTGGTACTTACACACTAGAACTTCAAATTCAACAATAAAAATATCTCCTGTACTGTGTGTGAAGTGTAGGGGGGATGATGACGTGCCACATTTACTGCTGATTTATAAGGACTCTGCCTCAAGTGATGGGGCACAGGCTGTGGGTCTCTGCTAAGTGAGCTCAGTAAATACCAGCTACTTCTCTGCTAGGGTAATTCTATGCTGTGTTATTAAACATGCACCTCTGATCATCTGATTTGGTAAGGAAATAATGGGTCCAGGCCACGAGGCAGCTGTCCTTGACTCAAGACACTAAGTGGGTAACGTGAGGTTGCTGTAAACTTTCAAGCTAAAACTTGTTAGGAGGAGTAGAATGCACAGACTTTTAAAAGGAATTCATGTGTATCTTGAACAAATTCACAGATGAGGTATTTGATGGTGCTGTTTCTCTCACAGGAATGGTTGCAACCTACTGAGGACCAAAATCAGGCTGTGGAAATGGTTTGTGCTGTACAAAGTGAGTACCCCAGGGATGTGGAAGGAACATCCTGAAAAAGCTTTACATCCCAGGCCAAAATCCTCATAACCAAAAGGAACTCAGGATTTTGTGCAGGTGTCTACACCAGGTTTAATGGTTTCCTCTTCCCTCCCCACACAGGTCCTGGGGACAGGATTTCCAACTTCCCAGATCGGTTTCCAGCCCAGGATGTGGATGCAGAGGAAGACACATCCAAACCTCCACCATATATCAGACTGACTTGAGAAAGTGGTCGAACATTTTGTTCAAACGTGGCAGGAGAGACGTAACAAGCTCTTAATCTTTAAAGATGGTTATGCACTTTTCCTTGGCCTCTTGAAAAGCACACACAGAAGGAGAGAACTATTGAATGCCAAACATTCAGCAGAGACCACAGTGCAGAGAAGATCCTCAAGTGGTTTTGGACGTTCAGACTTTGTATAGTTAAAATACCTCATTGCCTCTGGAAAGCGTGAGCATTTTTTTCCTCCGGCTTTTGTACTTAAATCATGTTTTATTTCACTAGAACTCATCGGGCAGTTTGTGTAGCAGTGCTAGCCTTAGGCATTTAAATATTAAATACAATTGACTTTTTTTCAACTGCTGTCTCGATTTCTCCCTCTTACCAAGTGAATTATTTGGATGATATGATACCCGGAGAAGAATAACGAAGGACCCACTTCATCAGTGAGCTTCAGAGTGTTTTCCTTGTCTTCTTGGCAGGAGTAGGGGCAGGGCAGGTTTTTGATGTGAAGCCTTGACAATGCCATTCAGGTACCTCTGTGAGAGTCTGGATTCTGAGAGGTGTAAATGTGTCAGTACAATCAGTTTCAGTGCTGAAGTGTAATGCTAGAGTATGGTAGGAACTGGAGCTGCAGTAACTCCTCTTACAGAGTCACTTACAAATACTCTGAATTCAGTTCAGGTTTTTCTATTTTGACTTTGGAGACTGAAAGCTTAAAAGAAATGCTTATTTTGGGGCTGTTCTGCTAAAATTTATCACAGATCTGGACCAAGGTCTTCCTTTGTAGTTTCTCTTAAGGGACCTCTCAGTCCTCTAGAGCAAGGACCTAGAGCTTCCAGTCAGCTTCTGTCATCTCCTGAACTACATGAAATTCCCATATGTACTTCATGATTCGCTTTTAGGTGAATATCAAGTGTTTATCTTGCCTGCATGCTCTGAGCATGAAGTGGTAGATGGCTTACCCTGTGACGCAGATTAACACAGCATTTGAACAGGGCTTGGAAAGTAAGTTCCCATCTTGAGAAAGTGCAGTAGTAGGATAAGTCCTGCCCACCATGAGGCATGTAATTCCAGGAATGACCTCAGATAAGATTTATCTTATTACGTCATATAAAGTGCCTTTCATGCTCCCAAGAGGAAAGTTGTTCTGGATTTTTTTTTTCTAGAGACTGAAATTTTTTTCATCACTAAACTAAAAATGTCAGGTTTAGATTAGATACTAGGAAGAAATTCTTCACTGTGAAGGTGATGAGGCACTGGCACAGGTTGCCCAGGGGAGCTGTGGATGCCCCATCCCTGGAATTGTTCAAGGATGGGGCTTTGAGCAACTTGGTCTACTGGAAGGTGTCCCTGCCCATGGCAGGGGGGGCAGAATGAGATGATCATTAAGGTCACTTCCAAACCACACTATGATGATTCTAGGAAGATGTTTTACACTTTTTATTGTAATCTTGAACAGAAAAATACTTAAACCTGCATATTGAGGAAGTCCCAGTGGACTCTGTCTGTGTTATTGACTTTAACCATTAAGAGTATTCATGGTTGGGACTATAAAGAAAGGTACTCAGATCAAGAGAGCAGCCCTAAGCACCAGCATCCTTCCCCAGCCCTCCTCAGGTCACACAGTGCTTCCTCTGCTGCCTGGCTTCATCCAGGGGAGCTGTCCCCATGTCTGGGTGCTTGGGCCAGCAGCTTATCTTGGGGCTGCAGGTCCTACTCTGGCAGCTGGAGGCTTGACTGCATGGCACAGAAAGCCGAAATCTTTCTGGCTTTGGCTCTAAATACCTTCATGTGTTTGCCTATAAACCACAGAGTGGTTGGGTTTCAAAGGGAACTCTGGAGATCACCTTGTCCAACCTCCTTACTACACCAACCAAAACACAGCTGGTGTTGTGTTCACTTGAAGGTGTCAGTGTTCGAATTACTTTAATACAGTGATTCACACATGGCAATTCAAAAGGGATGCTGTGCTTTTTTCTCTGGTGCAGTGCCTGTCAGCGAGCATCAAAGCACTGAGCGTGACTGCCTTCCCCATCCTCAGATGCTCCTGGCATAACTCCAAACCATCTGCAAGGAAGTGCTGGGGGTTTTCTCCTTGTTTAACATAAACTGCTGTTCTTCTTCACTAAAAGAAAGCAAGACTCCCTGAGAGGTTATTGTGATCGCTAATAGCTGAAAGCAGCACAGCTTTGTTAGTCTTGAAAGGATTTTGCGTTGCTAAAATGCACTGCTCAGCCTCCACATGGTTTCTGGGTGGAAGTTACGGTCCCATCCAGAAGTGCTATTCCATAACTAGCCATTGCAGTATGGGATGGTACATACTAAACATCATTCAGCAGTGTTTGACTGCTGGTTGAACAGAGAAATGAGCTTTTACTGTGAGCTTGCAGAGCACACACGCCACTAGTCCTGGTTTGAATGCTGCGCTGTTGCATCAGCTCAGGTAACTCCTGATCTGAGGGTGGCCCCTGCCACCACAACTGGTGCAGGTCAGGTCCTCCTGGCACAGCTCTGAGGCACAAGCTGAGTACCCAGCCCAGCTTTGAAAGCCTTTGATCAGTGGCATTTAGTGACAGGCAGAGCTCTGCCAGCGTGGCAGGTTCTCCTTCGGCTGTGGAATAGCCTTAGCAGCAGACATCGATGTGTAAAAGAGAAGTCTGCTCTGTGCTACTTCTACATAAAAGTGTATGGTAATTGATTCAGCAGCAGCTCTAAGCCCTTGAAGGCCCTTATTTTCTTTTAAAATCCTTCCAGTGGTGCAACCACAGCATCCCTGTTGCAATACCAGCACCGTGGGTCACTTGCAGACACACACTTTCAACAGCTCTTTCTAGGAAAGAGTGTGGGGGGGGGTCCAGAAAAGTGACAGCTGCAGTATGGAAATTGGTGGAAACTGATTACCAGTTTAATGTCAGTCCCTCTAATTGGTTAGCATTGCAGAAAATACATTCCTGATTGCAGTTTCCAGTGCTATATTTAGTAGCCCGTTCCACATGGTAGTTACAGCGCCTTCCTGAGCCTGCCCATATCCCCGGGGACATTCCACGGCTTGTGTCACCCCCAGCTTCCACTGGTGGAATTCAGGTGCATTTTCCTTTATTATGCAGACACACACCCACAGCACCTCCAGTGGAAAGGGCCTTGTCATTTGTTCCCAGACTTTTCCTCATTGGCAGTATCCCAGGGACCAAGCTGACTTCCCCATTCCCTCCCAGCATGACAAGGTTTCCCTTTTTAGGGTGGGCAAGGGCCAATTGGCTGCTCGAGGGAATGGTCACACACAACAGGGTGGCCCTCTGAGTCAAGGGGTGGGTGTCACAGCAAGTGCACCTCAGCACGGTGCCTGCAGAACATTGAAAGCAAAGTCCAGGGGGGAAAAAAATAGAAATTCCAGGTTTCACCTGAGCCCAGAGCTTCCTCTTCACCAAAACAGCCTGCACATGTGAGCACTGCACTTCAGTCACACTTGCCTTCCTTCACTTCAGAACTGGAAATAACCTGGTATTTTGAAGAGGAATGACAGATGCCAGCATGACTTCTTGAAGCCAAACATCCATCTGTTGCTTGGTGCGTTGGAAATTGCTGGTCGAGCCGGAGCAGCCAGGAGCAGGACACCAGCTCCTTGCTTTTGACATGAGTTTAGGACCCTGGTTATGGGCACCACGCACTCTGTGCTCACCCTGTTCCAGCATTATTTGTGTTAAGTCAAAGACAAGGCATTTACATCAAAAAGCTTTTTTGTCTCGGGTAGGCTGAGACTAATGTTGCCCTATTCCCTGATGCACAGAACAAGGCACACAAAACCCCCAGCCAGAGTTAATCACAGGGCGTAATCAGAAAGTTAATCAGGGGAGCTGATTCTGTAAGCTAATATTCAACTAAGGGCAAAGAATTTTCTGAAGTCATTTCCCCGAAAGAAGGGGCAGGAGGTGCTGGGGAGGAGGGGGAGAGGAGGGAATTTTCATCATAGTGAGAAACAGGGAACCGTTTCAGGTACTTTTTTTGACAACTAGCCTCTTTGGCATTTTTTTATACATAATATTTTATATGTTTATTCCTACCTATATTTTTACTTTTTATAGGTATATGGTTGGTGCAGTTCCTTCCCTGTGATGCTGGGCTGCTAGTGCTGAGGGTCAGGGCAGTCTTTGTTGGGAAAAAATCTCTTTCCCTTTGCTGGCAAAAGGCAGCAAGAAGCTGGAGGATCAAAAAAAAAAATCACAGCTCTGCATCTCCATAGCCCAGCCTATTCTAGCATGAAGTACTTAAAAACTGGTCAAGCTTAGCTATAAGTAGAAGAACTGGCCTACAGAAGAGACCTTTAAAAGAGCTGGGAAAAAGGACAGGAGTAGCAGTGATCAATCAAAATACAGGTCCATTCTGAAAACAGAAAGGGGTATTTGCCTGCAGCTAAGAGGAGGAATATTCTCTTTCCTGTTTTGTTGGGTTTTGTTTTTTTTTCTTTTTTTCCAGTCAGTAGAAACCTCACCTAATACAACTGAAGCACAGCATGCATTTTTTGGAGTCAGTCTGTGTGATTTCTTGGTTCTTAGAATCACAGAACCACAGAATTGTTTCAGCTGGGAAGGACCTTTAAATCCAACCCTTGATCCTTATGGGTCCCTTCCAGCTTGAGATATGACTCTATGATTTTCCAGCACTAGCAGTGTGTAAGTATGGGGAAAAGTCCTTGGACTTAAATCTAACCTGAAGAGGGAAAGCCCATCAAAGCAAACAGCATAAACGGCATTTCCCAGCCTTCCACAGCAGCTTCTCTGTAAAGATAGTAACTGCTCTGTAAAGATCGACCCTGCAGCTCTTCAGGTCAGCCTAACCAAAACACACAGTTAAACTGCACAGTTTCAGTTGCACTTTCTGAGCTGCTGCAGTAATGTCTATTTTTTTTTTTTTTAAGTTACATCTTCAGTACTACCAGAAACACGTGTGTTCTCTTTAATTGGCTTGACATTTATATGTCATCTTAATTTAAAAGAAAATTACTGTGGTTTATAATTTGTGTTTCATCTTCTGGCTTCTGTCCACTACTTGTTTCTAAATACACTCACCGCTTACTTCTTTAGTCAATATTAGTTGCTGTGTATATAGTGTTTATACTCAAAGAGAGCATGCAAATATTGCTAAAGCCCTTGGCCCCCACCCAGTAAGCATGATTTAGGATGATGGCTGGTGTTTTCACTTTCCAAATTCTTTGCCCTAAGGGCATCTCACAGCAGTTGCTTCTGTCTCTCTTATTTTGTCTGATGCAGGCAGCCTCCCAATCCTGACTGACCCAAATTTTTACATCCAACAGCTCTTCTCCTGTAAAGCCCAAGAGCTGGAGCTTTGAAGCAGATGCTGTTGTTGGACTCCCACGTGGGTCATGTACCACACAGGCACCTCACTGCCATACCAAAAGGTTGGAATTCTGTACAACACTCTTCCAAGTGTTGCATTACGATGCCAAAGTATGCACAACTCTGATGGCCAAAAATACGTACATGTGAATATACATGTTTTCTGGTCATCATTTCATATATACAGAGAGAATATATCTTACATATCTTTGTTTATCATCTACTACCACCACACATAAAAATGAAATATACCTATTTCATGATAGCCAAAACTATTGAAATTGATTATTTCACCTCAGATGCAATCTGACAAAAGCACAGCCACAGTAAGCCTTGGAAGCCAAAGGCAAGGGCTGCCAATAATGAGCTTTTAACAGCAGCATCACAGTGACTCAGATATTAGCTCAGTATGGAAGTTAGTACTTCAAGGTAGTAATGAGGATGAACAGGAACCTGGAAACCTCCTCTGAATTTTTAGTTGCTGAAGCCAGAAGCCCTTCACTGCCTCTGATTTGTGAGTGCTTTAAAAATACCTTGAAGTCAATGGAAAAGCTGTTGCATGTATTTTAGGGTCAGTTTGATCTTTTTCTTGTTGTGTGTTCTTCCTTAATTAAAGAAAGCACTAAGGGACAGAGGATTATGAATGACAAGGAGCACCTCAACCCCCCTGAGCATTCCAAAGTGTTTTCCTGGGCAGGAGTGGGCGTGAAGGGTGTGGAATAACCAGGCTTTTATGTAAAAGCAGACAAGAACAAGAACCTGTATCTCCACCTTCTGCAACAGCCCCAAAAATATAAGTGCAGGGTCAGCACATAACACACATTCCTGTACTCCACCTGTAGCCTGGAGCCCTCTCATTTAGCCACGTACAAAAAGCAATTATCTTCCACTAACATGTATAGCCTTTTTTTTTTTTTGTTAAACCTTCAGAAACTCCCAGCAGTCCCATCATCTCATGGCCAGGACTTCCAGTTTAACTGCAGTGTTAAAAGACAGCATTTTGCTTGAACTTCTCTTCTGACAGCTTCACTTTGTAGAGCTAAGCCAAGACTCAGTTAGGCCCCTGGCCATGGGAAAGGAGAAATGTTTTGCAAATGCAGACTCTGTTTTATGACCTGTGATTTAGATGCCCAGAATGTCGTTTTTGAAAGCAAATAACCAAAGATTTTAATCTAGAGGGAGTTTAGCATATTGCCTCACACCGGAGCCTATTCCGCCTGTGACCTTTCCAAAGGGGCAGTGCAAACAGTAAAAAATAATAATAAAAAAGGAAGCACTGAGCTAAGATCAGGGTCTTATGACTCTTCACATGCTCACATTCACACTTGTTGCTTCTTCCTGTTTATTAAATACATCTCTGTGTGTTTGCTTGTGCATGCCCATGTGTGTATGAAAAATAGAGGCTGTAATCACACAAGGTCCACGTCATTGTGATTTTACCACTGGGATTTTGCACTCTTACAGCTATAACTGTGCAACACTCCACTGTTTTCCAGGAGGCTGATGACATCTGAAGCAGAAAATTTATTTCTAAAGGAGCTGATAAACTCTTAGAAAGACAGTGCTCTTCTTTTTATTAAATTTGGCATTAATAATATTAATATTAATATTAGTAGAAAGAAAAAACCTGCACCATTACTTTCTGAAATGAAGATCTGATTATATGATGTAGTGCTCTTGCTCTCAAACACAGAGGCAGGGTTGCTGCTGTCAGCTTGCACTGCAAGCTCTTTGCTGTGCTATAGAGTTACTTCTTTTAAACCAGCACCTGAGGGTAGCTGACTGTACAGGAAGATTATGACGGGCAGATAAAAGGAGAGGGCCCTTAAACTCTTTGGTGTTGTCAAATACAGTTGCTTTTCCTTGATTCTCTGGAAGCAAGTAACTACCTGAAGATTTTGGTGGGGTTGTTATTGCTGTTGTTATTTTCAAATGTGTGAGCAAAGTCTGTTTTCAAACTCCATCTCTTAATGGAAACACAGACTGGAAGATCTAAGTGCACCCTGCAGGTTTCAAAATAAGATGAAAGCAGACAGGAATCCAAAACATGTGCCCCCTCACCTTACTTTTTTTTTCTTTAACACGGTCCATTTATTTCAAAGCCAATCTTAATTTCCGGGAAGAGAGAATAGGCCGCTTCCTTCTCAATGTTTGATACTGGCAATGCCAGCTCTCATACGCCTGAGGGCAAAGTGAGTTGCAAGTTGTACTATCCCAAAACAACAGGGAGGGAGGGGAAGTCATAAATCATGGCACAGGGCAGCCACAACTTCTCTGGGCAACCTGTGCCAGTGCCTCACTGCCTTCACAGTGAAGAATTTCTTTCTAATAAGCACAGCACATTTGTTAAATGCAAGCTGGGGAAAGGATTATATTTTGTTGGGGTTTTTTGGGGGTTTCTTTTAATGGTCACTGGTATTGCTGGGAAATTTGCTTTCCAGTAATTTCAAATGATTACCTAAGGTTTCTATCATTCCTGAATCACAGTGGTGATTCAGCAAAGGCAAGGAAACAAAACATGTCAGTAATACCCACATGGAACGGGACTGAGCACCTCATGGAGTGTCCCTGAATGGTTAGCAGCTCTTACATGGCCTTCCTCTGGGATCTGGAAAAAGCTTCTTGAACTTCAGGAAGTACATTAATACATATCAGCCTCTGACACGCTGGGTTTGCAGCTGAGAGGTTGTGCAGAGCCCAGAGAGCCCCAGGACACGACTGGAATCCAGCAGCCATTCCTCCTCCCTCTTGTGTCTCTTCACAGCCCTTCAGATGGGTGAATGAGAGGCCTTCCTTTGGGCACCCAGAGTCAACTGATGAATTTTAAAAAATCCCTCATCCTAAAAACACTGGGGTTTTTTGTGAGTCATAGGATAATATGAGTTTATAATTTTATTTACAACTTTAGATTTAAGATTCCATGTTGGTGTTGCGTTGATTTGCACAGAAAACCAGGTTGCCATTTTAAAAGTTACGTCACTGTTATTTTAAAATGACCCATGGCTCTCATCTTTATCTGGGAATTGCAGATTGTTTAGTAAAAGATCAGTCAATGACCTTGAAAAGTAGGACTTTGGAAAACGAAAGACCATTGGAACTATACATCCTGGTGAAAGTGAAAATACTCACAGAGGGCACAAGGAACATGAATTTCCAAGAATTCAGAAATGCGGGAAGTCAGCAGATGATCAGTCAGGGGGAATGTTGGTGCAGGGCTACAGTTTAAAGATGGCACTTCTACTGACTGTGTCATACAGGACAAACCAGGTAACAAGAGCATGATCAGCACATGACCAAATGTTATGGGAGACAAAGGCAAAACCAGGCATTTCTGGCTGCAGGGTGATCAAAGCCATAATCACTGATCAGTTTTGCCTTCATGCAAAGCTGCCATACTTGAGGGAAAACAGTTACTAGTGCATTTTTCTGCTTTCCCGTTTTCCTGATTCCAGGTGGGAAAGCACTCGTGAGGCACAGATGAGGATGGTGAAGGTCACAGGCAGCAGCAGACAGAGCAGCCTCTGCCTTAACTCTTGTATGGTCTCCCACAGTACACCCTTCCATCAAAGTCAGAGCCTAACTTGCTTTTTAGATCACTAAGTTGCGTAGAGTTGAAATTGAAGTGGAACATATGACTTGCATTAGGAGTCCTCACCTATTTTCACTTCACCTGGAAAGCTGTTTTTTAAAACTATTGACCTATGAAGCTGAAGGAACAACGACAAGGGTGGAACTGTTTCATCTTTAATGACTTTTTGCTTTAGGGAGATTACAGTACACATAAAACCCTCATGGATTTATTTTGATGCTTCTTAGCATCTTGATCACGACAAAGACATGAGACATTAAAAACCCCACGAAACCCCAATGCACATCAAGTATATGCATGAGTCCTAGGACGTACCTGGAGCCTTCCCCAGGTTGCAAACTGCTTCCTCCCCGAGCAGCCTTCTTTTACCAAGGCCCCTTCTGGTCACTCCCAAGGTCCAGACTCACAGGGCAAACCACCAAGATAGATTAACAAAGAGATAACACGGAAGAGCTTTTACTTCTGAACATGACGAGACTAGAAGAGTAAGGGAGAAGATTCCTTTACGGTCTTGACATACATTCAAGGGTCAGTAATTCCTAACTTTGTAACTGTTGCATCATTTCCTATTCTTCTGGAGTCTGAAATAAATCCTGAACATGCTTCTGAATCATCAGGTGGGTGCCTCAGATCCACCCGGAGCCATCACAAGGAAGCGCTGACAGCAGTCCAAGTGTGGTGACAGTCTTGTACAAAACTGTCACCCACACACACACACAAACTAGAAACTCTTCTTCCTCCCTCATAGCTTTTTTTATCCGTAAGAAATTAGATCATCATTCCTTGTGTAATTACTGAAAACAAGTGATAACAGTTTGTGGCAAAGACAGTTTATTAGCTTTTCTGGAATTGTGTCTTGCCCTCCCCCTCAACACACAGAAAATAACCCAACTTTACAATTTGGTTAAGGTGAAGATACACATACAAAGTATTCAGTATTTTTGACATCCATTTTGTGGGCAGAACACCACCACTGAAAGCCAGGAAGCAATACTGAACCCTGCATTACTGACCACATTACCTTTATGGCAGAACCATTAAAACACGCTTTGTGCTGAACATGAAATTACATACTTGAACACCATTTCCACACAATTTTCATGACGTGAGGGCCTTTATTTACAGGTTGTGATAACTCAAATAAAGCTTAACACGTGTGCAAATTTAACAGTAACACTGTAGCTACATAATTTCCTTACCTCAACCCCCAGCCTGACTGACTGACTTTGAAGTTCTGGGGTTATTTTACTAGAAAAGGAAAAAAACCCAAATACAAACAAACAAACAAACAAAAAACCCCAACACTTGTCAACCTCCTTGGTAAACAAATAATTAAGATGGATCCTTCTGAGAAAAAGGATTAAGGACATGGGTGAAAAACAAACTGTCCAATAGGACTGTAAACCATATTTATTTACAATAGTATACAGATAAATTTAAGATCAATCCTTTTCTTTAAAAAAAATTAAGTACACTAGCGTTAAAAAGGTGACTGTTTCTGAAAGGACTGTAAATTCTAGTAAGGTTCAGTGTGAATACAAAAGCTCCCTTTTACAAGTGTTTCCTAAGCAAAAATACTGTCACAGTTGAAGCAGCTTTATAGTATAACCTTTTGTTTAGACTATTTTTAAACATCTTAATTGTATTAGACCAAATTGAATGCTCTTTCTAAATCTAGAAAAAATTCAATGCATTTTTATTTTGTCGGTATAAGCTGCAGTGGAATTATATCTTAACAACTGTAATAGTTTACATAGTATTAGTTATCTTTGTTTCAGTGATTTGTTTCGAATGTGATCGCTGGGCTGGCAGCTTCTGAACTGGCCCTTCCATTTAGTTTCCAGTCAGCAACACCTGCTACACACTGCCAATAATAAAAACAAAACAAAACAAAACAAAACCCACTTCATTTATACTTCAATTCCTTCAAAAACTAAGTCAAACGACATTGTTTGACATGGCATGTGAATGAAGTCATAGATTGCATTCTATGGCTTACATTTTGCTTGATGCAATTACATGCAAAACTTAGCACCGTTTTTATTATGAAACTCGACCTTATTATGAAACTTGACCTTCAGACAGAACTGAAAAAAAAAGCAGCTGAGACTACCGGAACACAGAAAAAGATGGTTCTAGAGCAGTGATTTCCCTCATCCGACCCCTACTAACTCATGCTAGCAGTGCCAAGGATGCCCCACATACAGCCACGACATTACACAAGCAGGTTTTAGCTCAAAAATCTGTAACAGATGATGTACTTGGTAGATTTACTGCATATTTCAAGACCTACTTTAGTTTGTATTCAGAAATATTTTAAGAAAGTCCCATATTCCTAGCATTTCATCCAAGGCATTCCAATTCCTGGGAATATGTTACCAAGTCAATTTCTCAAGATATCTGAGAAGCACTCATCGTTACTAAAATCCTCCAAACCCCCAAAATCTTTAAAAACCAATATGTTTTTGCCAACTTCACTAAATCTTTTATTTACTTAAATGATTTTACTTACTCTGGGACACTCAACTCAAATACAGCACCTTTAGAAATACATCCTCATTGGAATTTTAGTAAGCTCAGAGAAATTACGGACAGTTAAGAGCCCCAAATTTACCCCAAATCCTGTGCTACAGTACTTTCCATAAGAGGCAATGCATAGTTTAGTACCACATGCTAATTATGAAAAATTAATGAAGCTTAAAATATCAAATAATAGTCTAGAGGTAGGGACAAGTTTGTCAATTCCCTTACCACTGCCATGAAGAAACAAAGTTCACAGTGGAATGACAGGCCAAACACCAGCAGTTTGCACCTACAATGACAGCCCAAACTTTGACAGTCCTGGTTTTCGTTTTTATAATAAAAAGGTACCTGCTTACTAATTTGCTAGCAGTCACCAAATATTCCTTCACATGCCAAAAACCTCCCCACTTGCTGACCCAAAAGCCAAGCTCCCTGGCTGTCAAAAAACTCTCTTTCTTCTACATTATTCCAATGTAAGCAGCAACCAAAAATGGCAGCAAGAGCTCAAGTAGAATTGCTCTGTCAAAATTTCACTAGAAAGTTTACGTTCCCATATAATTGTAGTGAAACCAGTAATTCAGAAAGTACAGTTACAAAGTGCAAGAGCATGAGATGGGCACATCTACACCAGGGGAAAAAAATAAAAACAGACCCAAAGAGAAAACCACATTAAAGTGCCAAAGGGATTTTCTATAATTGCTACCAAAACCTGGAATTTTGCCAAGATCATAATTTTGAAGCACTTGCAAACGAGACAAGGTGACAGGCAGTGACAGAGTGATCTAACACCAGCAGGACGTGGCAGGTTTTGGTTCAGGCTTTATATGTATCTCATCATGATCTGGGGGTTGACTAAGCATTAACGGCTTGTGACTTTTAAGCTTGTGAGCCAGTGTCATGAATATGGCCTCCACGTGGTCATTGTCATTGGGGTTCTTGGCAGAGGTCTCAAACAAGGGCATGCTGTGGGTATCAGCAAACTTCTGCGCCAGGTCCGTGGGCACCTGAATGGCGCTTCTCAGGTCACACTTATTTCCAACCAGAATCCGTGGGATATCGTTGGCAAGAAGGTGTTGTTTGCACTCCTCTATCCATGAGGGCAGACTGTGGAAGCTGGCAATGTTTGTCATGTCATACACGAACACCACAGCGTGTACGTTCCTGTAGTAGTGCTGCACCATGCTCTTCCTGAAGCGCTCCTGGCCTGCAGTATCCCACAGCTGTATCTGGAGAGGGAAAACACAATGGGAGAAAAATGTGTTTTACTACTCATGTCGGAAAACAATGCACATTTACCCGTAGCAAGGGGAGTTTCGTGATCACAGAAATCCACTCTTCTGAATTAATCATACCGGAAAGTTTGTGCTGAGGAAAGTCATTGCATTTACACAATTCCTGAAACTTTGGCTCTCAGAGACCACTCACAAGTGAGGCCAAGAAGAATGATGGCACAACTTGATAAAAAATACAAATTTCTGAAGGTTTGTATTTTTCTGAAGACTGTATTTTTTAAGATTTTTATAAAAAACAGATGCTGAAGTCTTGGCAATACCACTTTCATTTGAAAGTAACACAAAATATATGTTACTTCACAGTACAACCCTCAGCTGACATGATTTTTGTTATTGCCAAAAATAAGTTTTATTCGTCTATTGTGGCATCACATAAAAGTAAGAAGAAATCAAACCATGCTTGATAACACCACCACCACCACCACCAAAAACAGGACAAATCTTTCCCTGCAGTGTATCTACTGGAATCAAACCCTCCTATGAAGAATATCTAGCTTCGGCTTATTTAATGCCTAAACTGGGACCACGCCGTGGTTTGTAGTATCAAAGTATGCATGAAAGGAAAAAAATAATAATAAAAAAATACTACATGCATAAATCTTTGCATGTTAGCTTAACATGTGACTATTGTTTCCAATACTAGCGTGTTGCTCAATCACACACATCTGAAAGGCAATTCCCATTTCTTGGGAAAAAGCTGAGTCCTGCGTTCCTGTCTGTCCTATACAGCTGATCCCTGATGGCTGGGGCAGATTGATTAGCAGTCAGGCCTTGGAGCAGAAAATGTTTCCTCCCTGGGAATGAAAGCTGAGTTCTTCTTGAAACTCAGAACTCAAGGAATATTAAATGTTCCACAGGCAATGAAGGTAAATTTAAAGTTCAGTCTGTCCTCATGGAAGTTAAAGCCGCAATGTAATTGTTGAAATTGTTCTCCCATTACCACAATTCCGCATTCCTTTGATCCAAATGTTTCAGTAAAACTTCTTATTCAGAAATTGCAAGTGTCTTGAAAAAAGTTGCCTTGTTTACCATTTTTACCAGTGTCTTTTTATATTAAAAAAAGGAGAAGTGCCAGAGAAATCTGCTGACAGCAAGAATTTAAGATGCATCACTGAGAGAGAGAAGGATTACAGTATCACATAAAATTGTTTTGAAACAGTAAAAATAGGGTGAAACCAAATAGAAGTAGATGCAAAATCTTGATAACAGTGACTACCAAGGAAGACTTTTCCTTTAAACACACGGTTCAATCAGGTTGGAAATTATTAAAATAGATGACGATCCAGATACACGAGTCAATCACAGGATGTTATGAATCACTCTTGTGACAGACTGAAGGAAAAACAGTAAGTGATGTTTCAGATGGTGTGACTTTTCCTGCAATATTATGCTCAGCCCTGGCCACCCATCCTCGAGAAAAACTCAGACCAGAGCAGGTGGAAAAGGCAGCTACTGACTGCATCAGGGGATTTACATGAAAACATCAGAACAGTTTGGCTTCTGCAGTCTAGTCCAGTTCTCTGCAGCTTCTGATCCACAGACTTAAAAAGACCCAACTACAGCTTCCAAAAGGGTCCTTAAGATTATTAAGAAAAGCAAGCCAAGTTGCCCTGATCACAGAAAATGAAAATCAGTTGCAATCTGTCTCATTTTAGAGTAAGAAGCCACTTTTTGCCAATGGTATTACACTCTACACACAACTGGCTGCATCTCCATGGTCTGTTAAGGGAGTCCAGACAATCAGGTTAAACACAGGCTCCTAAGTTTGGGTAAGTTTCAGTAACATACCCAGGTGAGAGATACTTCTAGTTCTGTGCACTTAGACAGAAAACGTTCATGAATTTGACAAATTAAAGAGAGAAGAAAGGAGCACAGATTGAAGCAATCCCATGTTCAGACAACATAATGTTAAGGAATGACTACAGATACATCTTGGAAAATGCTGTACCAAATTAATTTAACGAGGGAGCTCATTTTCACAGGCAGCTGTGAGCTTACAATTCTCTCCCCAGCTCATTCATAGAGCAGAAATCAGTCATGCTTCAGTCAAGCAAGTTCCCCAAGTGTATTGCCAGCCTTGGGTAAAGAAGGGGAAATTAAATTAAAGTTTTACATATCTTCCAAGTTAAGCTTGAACTACACTTCCTCTTAAATTTTATTTACATGCAGCTTTCAAGCTTGAAGGGTGCAATCTCAAATAAAAAATGTTTATATTCCTGGCAAGGAGTCGTTTGCACTCAGAGGAGAATCCTTTCCCAGTATTGAAAACTTCACATTTTGGAAGGTTCTTTTCTCCCCTTTCCAGGTGAACTCGAGGACACCATTCCTCAAGTTCCATTTCTGCCCCTCCCCCCAAGTATTTTCTCCACTGAAAAAACAAGACTGAAAATGTTCACATTAACAGATGTGCACTGATGAAGTTAACATTAAGATTACTGTTTCATTACTAGTCCAAGACCATCCATCTTCAAAGGAACATATTTTTTATAACAGCCCTTTAAAATGTGTATTTTGAAGATCTGGTTTGACAGCAAAATTCAGTTAATAAAACTGTGTACAGAATCACTTTAAGGAAGACAAATGGCATAATATCTATTAAATATATTGACTCAGCTATCACCTCCTACCTTCTGACTCCTTGAGGATTCAGAAAGGCTGTTTTCTAAACAAGGACTCACTTAGCATGCATGGTTTGTAACACATTGCAAAAAACATAACTGGCCTTTGATAAAGATAAAATAGTAAACTATGTCTCCTTTTAAAAGATTTGGAAAAAAAACCAACTTGGAATAGCTCAAAGGTACAGAACACAATGTTCAGACTTTCTTCCCTGAATTTCATTTGCATCCTTTGCTCTTTTAATGTAGGTCAGTGCAGAGTGACATCATTGTTTTCAATGCTTAGATCAGTTGAGGAAGAGGAAAATTCAGAATGCAAAAAAATTCATTTGTTGAAAGTTTTAATTTACTCATCACATTTAGGTGTCAGTGTTTCACATGAAGCTGTTATCATCCTGCTGTAAAACCCACAAAGGAATATCCTTGTACCTATGTCTTGGACTTTTACACAACTGCTGTGTGGGAGAAGAACTGTGCTTGTGTTCCTGCCAGTGACACAGCATTTCTCCAGCTGTGAGAGAAACACTCAGTGCTGTAGGAGCACAAGAAAGACCATCCAGCTGGCTGGGGGAAGGGAGAAGAGAGAAGACACTACTTTTATAATCTCCTTCAATGCAAGAGGAAAAATTCCTTTCAGGGCACAGCATGGACCCCAGTAACTCAGTTCATTGAAGCGTCTCTCTCCTGGTTCAACAGGCACTGCTGGAGCTCATCACCACATGTGAGAAAGGTGCAGATGAGTGAGAGGAGGTGCCAAAAAAACCCAAAACTTGGTTCAAACTTGACAATACTCAGCAACCCACTAAGAGCAAGTCCTGGCCATGATGACAGAGTTTATTCCTTTTTAAAGTTCAAACAGAACTTCCACAAAAGACTGTGTCTCAGGAGAGCCTCCCTCAGGTCTCCGCCTCCCTCAACCTGGTGTGTTCTGCAGGTCATTCTCTCAAGAATGCAGAAAAACAACCTACCACAACATATGTGACAAAAATGGCACAATAACCTTTGTGAAGCACCTCAGAGCAGGGGATTAGGCCATGTTCTTTTTTTACTCCTCTCCAACAAAGGCCAGGCAGAGGTGATGACAATGCCAGTCAATAAGATGGTGCTGACAACACAATATCCCTCGGGAGTTTCTCCCTCTGTCATGGACACTAGCAGACAAGGGAGTACAGAATTTCAGCTATCAAAGAAGTTCTAGTCAGTGGTTTTCTAAAGGAAAACAAAGGCTCCTATTCATCTTTCTTTTTTAGTTAAAAAAAGGATACGAGGTAAAGAACCGCCCAAGAGTAGGAAAGCAAACTGGCTTTTCTACTCTTGTATGCCCTCCACAATTTATTCAGTCAGTAAGTAAGCAAGGAAAAACTATAGCTTTCAGCTACAGGACTGTAAGCTGTAATTATAAACACCAGGACTACTGTTACTTCCTTTTTCCCTACGCAACTGCACTTTGGTCCTGGAAACAAACCCTTATAACAGAAGCAGACTTGTGCAGGGGATTCTGTTTGAAACCCTCTTACTGCTGGTAAACAAACTGCGTTTGTAAGCTGCTAAAAGACTGATCTGCAAATGACTGTCAGGATCACCACTGGCATTTCTCTGTCTACCAGGCAGATCAGGTGTGTTTCATTTGCTTTTATAATTTTCTTTCCAGCGCAAAGAAGACAAAAGAGCATTTTTTCCTCCCATCCAATTTTCCACTAAATTTTATTCTGCAAGACTAATCTTCAGCTAAAGCTATTATCAGAGTAAAAGCTCAGTCATATGTAAGCCAGGTATTGAACTCGTTGCTGTCCAATTCTGCACCACATTTGTCCAAAACAACACAGCAAACGGAATCCTAAAAATTAAAAGTTGAACCACATTGCTCGATCCTGAAAGACATCCAAGTTCCGAAAACTTTTAAAGCAAAATGATCACAACAGTCTCATCTACGCAGCTCGAAGGTTCAAGTATGTAACTTGAACTTGAAGGTTAAGAGTAATCGTGATCCTTGCCTAAAGACAAACACAGAATTTCTGTGATGCAACAAACCGATGATACCAGACTAAAGCAGAGGTAAGAGATCTCCCTAAAGGCCAGTTTTAAAGCGAAATTACTGATTAACACCTGACAAGAGATGCACAAAGGTTTGGCCTACGGTAGGAACTGTTCATCACAGTGGCTGCACAGTGGCTACATTCCCAACAGGACCCAACCACACGGAACACGTGGGGTGTGACAGGGGGCCTGGAGACTCCTGCAAGGGGCACGGTGCCTGGGATACCCAGAGCTCAGAGAATCACAGAATCAGCAAGGTTGGAAAAGACCTCTGGGATCATCGAGTCCAACCTTTGACTGGTCTACTAGACCATGGCACTGAGTGCCACATCCAGTCTCTCTTAAGCACCTCCAGGGACGGTGACTCCACCACCTCCCTGGGCAGCCCATTCCAATGCCTGATCACTTCCTCTGTGAAGAACTTCTTCCTAATGTCCAACCTAAACCCGCCCCGGCACAGCTTAAGGCTGTGCCCTCGTGTACTATTGCCGCTTCCCTGGGAGAAGAGGCCAACCTCCCCACCTGGCTACAGCCTCCCTTCAGGCAGTTACAGAGAGCGATGATGTCCCCTCCTTGAGCCTCCTCTAGGCCGAACACCCCCAGCTCCCTCAGCCTCTCCTCACAGGTCCTGCGCTCCAGACCCTCCACCAGCCTCGATGCCCTTCTCCGCACACCTCAACATCCCTCCAAATTCCCTACCAGCCTCGGCGGCTGCCGGGAGCTCTGGGAGCAGCGAGCCGGGCACCGGCACCATCCACGCCTCCCGCCCCCCAACCCATGCCGGCCCCGCGGGGCTTTCGGGGCGGGCCCGGCTCGGGGAAGGGCCCCGCCGGGTACCTTGATGCGCTCGCCGTCGATGGTGACGGCCCGCTCGCGGAAGTCCACGCCGATGGTGGCCTCGGTGCGCTGCGGGAAGCGGCCGGCGCAGAAGCGGAACGTGAGGCAGGTCTTGCCCACGTTGGAGTCGCCGATCACGATGATCTTGAAGATGCGCGAGCGGGCGGGGGGCAGCGCGCCGGGCAGCGCCCCGGAGCCCGTCAGGCTCAGCTCCAGCGAGGACTCCACGTCTCCCGACGCCGCCGCGGCCGCCGCCATCGCGGGGCCCCGGGAGGGAACGGGGACGGGAACGGGAACGGGAATGGGACGGGCGAGCGCCCGGGAAGCGGCGACCGCCCTCAGCGCGCGCCGCGTCACCGCGGGGCACGCCAGCGCGCGCGCGCGCGCCGCTCTCGCGAGAGCGAGGTTGACCGCCAGGCTCGGGAAATCGGGAATGGGGGAGCCGGGAATTGGGGCCGGGAAGAAGCCTCGGGGCTGCGGTGAGTGAGACACCTCCTCCACACCCCCCCCACCCTCCCCTCGCACCCCTCCGGGCGTTGTTGCGGAACGTGCAGCGCGTGAACATTTTTTTTTTTCCCCCTTAAGAAAGGATGTTTTTGTTTCCCCGGTGTTTTTTTGATGTTCGCGCGCGTTTTCCAAGCCTGTTCCAAGGAGAACGGCTTGGGGTTCGGTCAGCGGAACAGAGAGTGGCTAACGGGTAAGCTTTAAGTGATGGAGTTTTAAGTGTTGGAAAACACGATTCCCTTCTGGGTGGAATTGGCTAAGGTTTAGGGCTGGACGTGCTCCGGTGACCTCAGCGGCGGGAAGGTGGATGGGGGTGAAAATCGGAGGAAACGCAGAAGTTGTATTCGCATCCCAGCAGAAGTGGGTTAGAACGGTACGGCAAGCACAAGGTAAAATGCGTATAAAAGTAAGCTGAAAATGGAGGGAAAGTTAAGGGAAAACTCCACCGAAACTGCTGGGATCAGTTGACGGGCCGAACCCCTCTTCTTGCTCTATGGGGTCACCTATTGGGTAAGAACCATACTCTATGCATGCTTGTCTGTGCATTTTTTTAAATGCGTTTTTGCGGTCGGATGCTGTCACTGTCAGTCTTCAAACCTTAACCCGTCACAATCTGCATCAATAAAGGGTGTTACTCTCTAACCTGTGGGTTTCAGTCCTTCCTGTGCATTGGCAGTTGCCTGCGGCGGGAACACAGTGGAATAAAGTGGGAAGACCCACTGAGGGGGTTCCCTTTTTGCTGTTGGCTCAGCTCCCTGAAAAGGGCAGTCAGATCACCCCTCTCATCCAGTGGGACTGTTCGGTGAAGGGTCCCCCATAACGGGACACTGCCAGACCGGTCAGGCGCGATGGCCTCGGCTTTCCTGGGGCACCGACAGGCGAATCAAACACTTAAGGGCTGAGGTGACATCAGCCCAGGGGGAGGATAACAAAGCTTGGGGGGAAGGATGTGCCGTTGACAGTGGACACAAAGAATGCAGGATTTATGGGCCATGAGGACATCCGGCAGAACTCCCGAGACAGGGAAGAAACTAATAACTCAGCAACTGTGCTGGAATCAGCTCCGACCGGGTAAAAGGTAATTCCGGCAGGGGGAGATGGGAACCACCGACTCACGGACCCCCGACCCAAGAAACCCACACACCCAAGAGAAGAGAAAGACTGAGCATGAGGACTAATTAGCACGGGGCGCAAGAGAGTCATCAACCAGTAGAAGATAGAATGCTAATTATTAAGTCACATTACTATGTGACTTGTAGCAAGTCGACACCGGAGAGTGACCACAACAAACCCACCTTTGTTTAGCAACAAGCTGGTTTTTGAGCCAGATAAGGGGAAAGGCCAATAAAAACCAGATCCTTCGAGGTGGGATAATGCTTTTCATCATGCCAATGTCCTCCCTTACACAGCTGGCTCAGGTGTAACACTCTGTCCTGCCCCAGGGGAGGTGTTGGAACATTCACAGGGAGGTCTCAAGGTGTTCATCCCTCCTGATAAGGCACGACTGGCTCAACTACACTGGTGTGCAAAAAAAGCAGTCATGTCTTAGAAGGGCTCATAAACCATCAAAGCCCCCTGAAGTGGTTCCAGACTCATTTCTGGGGCCTTCCACCAGAGGACAGTGTTACATCAGAGGACAGTGTTACATCAGACAGTGTACCCCCCGAGGGGAGATATCTGAATGTTCCCACCTGAAGCTGAGTGTGTATTTGAACGCTGTGTTTCTGGGGCTTTCCCCACCCCCAGTGGATCAAGACTGCAACCATCACTTCAACCAATGGACATCGAAGTTGCAACAATCAAGTCTTGTCACTGGATCCACAGGTGGTGGTATCTTTCCTCTTTCTACTCTTATCCTCTCTTTCTTTCTTTTCCTTGTATATTTTCTTAAGCGGTATCTTTATACTTTTATATTGTTGCCTTCCTATAGATAATAACCAATACGGCTACATACCTCCCTTTCATGGCAACCAAATTGTTCTAAAATAATATGTATTTTTAGATATGTATAAATATATAAATTGTATTGCCTCTTGTCCTATTGCTTGGCACCACTGAGAAGAGCCTGGCTCCATCCTCTTGACACCCTCCCTTCAGATACTTATAGGCAGTTGATGAGGTGCCCTCTCATTTGTCTCCTCTTGAGACTGAACAGGCCCAACTCCCTCAGCCTTTCCCTGTAAGAGAGATGCTCCAGTCCCTTAATCATCTTTGTTGTCCTCTGCTGGACCCACTCCAGGAGCTCCATGTCTCTCTTGTACCGAAGAGCCCAGAACTGAACAGAGCACTCCAGGTGAAGCCTCACAAGGGCTGAGTAGAGGGATAGGAGCACCTGCCATGACCTGCTGTCGGTGCTCTGGGAAGCAGATCTGCCTGTGCTGTGCTTCAGGCTGACCCGTCCACTGCTGCCATTTACAGCAAATGAGCAAGTTCATCCCTGACAGAGAGGACACTTGGATCAAAGGTGACTAATGTATCTCTCAATAAGAAGGGAAGTGTGGCATTGCTTCAAGCAGTCTGTTAACTCACCTAGGAGAGGGGTGAGATGTAGACATCAAGTTTAAGCATTGTCCACCAGCAAAATTATTTTAGGGAGTTTAACTCCTACACTGGAAAGCAAGTGTAGATTGCAGTAGTTGAGAGAACTGTTGGTGATTCTCTGGACTGCAAACTGATAGCTGAGCCAGGATTCCTAAGGTTTGGATCAGATACCTAATAATAGCCACTGGGAATCCTCCTCTTTACACTTACACACGCTTCTGACCACTTGGGGCTTCTGCCTGCACAAATACTAGATGATCCTGGGATCCTACAGAGCAACTGTCATGTGGTTGAAGGATAGTGCTTTGAGCAGCCTGTTATTACTAATATAAAAACAATAGGGTAGAATAAATAATTATAAAAAGGTTAAAGTATCCTGAGTTCAGAGCAACTTCAGTTACAGTGCCTATCTTAGTTTTTGTCACTCTCTTTCCCCCGCCACTTGGACCAGTCTCTAAGATTGTAGAGAAGTTCCTCCAGCCTCTAGTCCTCTTCTGAGTCAAGATGCCTTCATTTATGCTGTCAAATAATTCATTTTGTCAAAGAAGAGGAATAGTTTTGTTCTGTTGTGACAGTGAGATTAAAGGGAAGTGAGGAGGTTAGGCCACCACTGAGTTGCTACTGTCCCCTGTACAGAATTGCTCCTTTTTGCAGCCAGAATGTGAAATGTGTTCGGCTGAGAAGAAGGAGCACAAGCAAGCATACCTCTATAGCCCCGTCCGTGGTCAAAGAACCAGGGAAATGCTAATTCTGGTAGTGGAGTGGTCTGATTTGGGCTCTGACTAGTGTGCTAAAAGGTGAGTTTAAACAGCTGCTCAGCAGGGTCTGCCAGCAGCTCATTTAACTGATTTTGGTCTGGGTTATGCCAAGAGGGCCAAAGTGAATTATAATTAGACCTGAGCTCTTCAACAGCTTTTAACTTCTTTTAGTTCAACGGCCAAGACACACCATCTAGTGGCTGAGGGCATCCCTAGTCATTAGATTATTGTACTCTACTAACTATAAACTGACGCTCCCAGCACTTTGCCATTGAATTTGCCTCACAGTACTGCCAACAGCCACCACAGTTCCTGTTCTGTTGGCTGTGGACAGGCAGAACCTCCTTCACAGGGATGCTCTGGAACACAGCTGGGCCCTGAAACGATGGACTTACAATAAATAGCCTCCTGAGAGTTTAACTTCTGTCCCAGATGTGGACAATACATGGGCACAGATAGAAAAGTTCACTTTACTGAAAGAGAAAAGTACTCTTTACTAAAAAGGACTCACAGTTCTTCCAGGGGTCAAAATAAAATCCTGAGTGCAGTTAACGAAGCTCTTCATTCACTTAGGGTTTCTTGGTGGCACTCAGTTATTTGCCTACTCTTCTTGCAGCAGCTTGCCTTAGCTTGATATAGTAAAGGTACATGTGGGGTTTTTGACTGTCCTTTTTGAAATTCCTTGTCATTCCAGTCATGAGACTTCAGCATCAACCTTACCAAATCGGTAAGATTTGACACAAGGTGACTCCACCCACCCTCCCCACTCCTTCCAGTAAAGCTGGCCCTGCAGAGCAGGAGTTTTGGAGGAAGGTGGCTTCCCATCGAGAGGACAGCACTCTGCCTGTTTTCTGTGCTTGATTTCCAATTTAATCCTTTGAAAGGCTGATCTCAGGAGATCTCGGGAGGGTCTTTGGCTTAAGTCACTTTTATGTAAGCTATTTCAATGAGGTACTTGAAATGTCATCACTTCTGTTACACTTGTAGGGATAAGGATGTTGATTAGATCCTTATGTTTCATCCAGCACAGACTATTTCTGGGTGCTCCTTTTCTGATTTGTTTGGAGACCAGCAAATATAATGGAATTTATTTATAGTAACAGAATAAATTAAAAATGTTTCTTGCTATAGAAGCATTTGAAAAAAAGCTTTTGTTTTTTCTTCTTTTGCAAGGATAAGTACTTTTAATGTGCTCTTCGGATGTGCTCAGTGAATGAATGCACAAGAGCCCAAGTTCACATTTTTATTTAGCAAATGTAGAATTTTCTAAGGGATTCTGAAAATAGTTGCGAGTCTCTGGACTTGCTTAGCATTTTAAGGATAGTTATTTCTGTCTTCCCTTGAAGGCATATTTTAACATGTTAGTCCCATGAAAATGCAGACTGTTCAGTGTCTAAAAATTATATCTACTAGGTTTTAAGTTAAGGAACAAATTAGGGAAAAAAGTATGAGTCTAAGGTTGTCCCATGTTGCCTGAAGAGATCAAAAAGTTTTCAGGTGTGCCCT